GTGCAGAATTTCTTCTGGAAGAATATAGTTTGCCGTTTCGGACTACCCCGAGTGCTCATCTCTAATAACGGCAAACAATTCGAAGACATTAAGTTCCCGAACTGGTGCAAAGACATGGGAATACAACAAAATTTCACCTCGGTGGCGCACCCTTAAGCAAACGGTCAAGCGGAGGTCACAAACAAAGCCATTCTTTGCGGACTAAAGGCACGTCTAGCCCGAGCTAAGGGACTATGGGTAGATGAGCTGCCCAGCGTACTATGGGCTTATCGAACCACGATGAAGACCGCAATGGGCGAGACCCCTTTCAACCTCACTTACAGCGTGGAGGCAGTGATCCCAGCCGAGATTGAGGTCCCTACGCTACGCCTGGAAGCATACAACGACGAAGCAAACAAGGATGAACTACGCACCAACCTCGACCTACTTGATGAGGTACGGGACCTTGCATACATTAGGACCGCGGCCTACCAGCAGAGAGTAGCTCGATACTATAACGCCAGGGTCAAGAAGCGGAACCTCCGCGTCGGAGACCTGGTTCTTCATAAAGTCATGGTACCTGAGCCCGATGTTGGTAAGCTCGGGCCAAATTGGGAAGGACCCTACCGAGTAAAGCAGGTACTTGGGGAAGGACTTATGAGCTCGAAACCCTAGAAGGGAAGCAGGTACCTCGGGCATGGAATATTGTCAACCTAAGGCAATATTACCTGTAATTACTGAGCTGAGTGGACCACAAGTCACTCCTCGAGCCTAAGGGCCAAAGTGCCGAGCTAAACCTCGACACTACAAGACCCAGTCGCCTCCTTGGCATGGGCGAACTCCAGAAGTGAGTGGACCACAAGTCGCTCCTCGAGCCTAAGGGCCAAAGCGTCGAGCTAATAAAAGAACCTCGGCACTATATAAGACCCAGTCGCCTCTTTGGCATGGGTGAGCTCCAAAGAGTGGACTATAAGTCACTCCCTCAGCCCAAGGGCTAAAATACCGAGCTGACAAAGGACCTCGGCACCATCAAAGACCTAGTCGCCTCTTTGGCATAGGCGAAGTGCCAAGGCACACCCAGCTCGGGTATGAATACCTGTAATGGTTGTTACAACATGTAGCCTGTGTGCAGACAGGTCGGGCATATACCTTACTATGTCGCTCACCTCGGCATACACCATAAAATTGCCCCAAAGTACTGGGTGACGGTTCGGAGAAACAACAAACTGAGGAACCCCCCACTTCGGTCATCTAGCTCGATAGTTCAACAGTTCGGGAAAAATCACCATGGTCAGAAGATCAATTGCACAACACTTAACAAAAAGTGTATTTCATTATAAAGAGTTCGTCACAAAAGGGGGAAAGAAGAAAAGAAGTTGAGCTCGCAGGCTCACAGTACAAAGGACTACTTGGGGCACTCGTCGCTCTTGCTCGAAGCCTTGGCGGAGGAGCCAGCCTTGTCATCAGCATTGGTCTCTGCAATGTCGTCACTGTCGCTCTCCGCTTCCAAGTCCGGGTCTTCAGCAGCTTCAAGGGCTACCTCCTTTGTGATTCGTGAGGTAGTGATGACACTCACATCGAGTTGCAGAAACTCGCGCTTGATCAGCCACCTACTGAGCTTGAAGCCTTTGCGGTAGCCCTCCGCCCCAGCCTCAACCAGCTCTCCCTCGAACTCTTCCGAGCTCTTATAATCTTGGACAGCCTTGACCTTGGCCTCCTCCATGGACTGGAGAAAGATTTCAGTCCACTCCTTGACATCCGCCTCGAGGTTCTCCACCTTACGCTCCAGATTCGCCTTCTCTAACATCAGTGACTCGATAAGCTCTTTTTGAGCTCGCACACTGTTCTCCAGATGATGGATCTTGCCACGAGCTAAATTCAGTTCAGTATGAGCCTCACGAGACGAACTCTCAGCAGCTAGAGCCCACTTTAAGTGCTACTCAGACTGGTAGGTCAAGGCGTGCACGGCGGAGTTCACCTGTCGAGAATATAAGTTAGTACCGCCAAGGCTACAGATACAAAAATCAAAGTAAAACAAGACTTACCACCATGCAGTGGGTAGCTGCCCGAGCTCCGAGCTGAGCAGGCGTTAGCTCAGCCCAACTTGCGACCTCTTCAGAGTACACAACCTCTGCCCTTTTGAAGGTTGTATTGCGGAGTCAGGATACTCTGAACTGTCTCTCCTCTCCCTGAGGAAGCAACAGTCGTCGCAGGGGCGGGCCCCGAGGACGTCTCGGGCGCACAAGGTGGGACCTTCTCCGTCTCCAAGTCAATCACCGGAGGCGCACGAGAAGGCTGTTCGGGCTCAGGGATGACAGGCTCTGGAGACTCAGTACGAGCTCTTTTAGTAGCTCGCTTCTTCTTCTTTCCCTTCATCCGCCCAAGAAGCTTGTCCGCGCTGAGATGCATGGGAGCTACAACAAAACCTGGCGTTAGCAACATCAACAAGAATACCAACTGTCAAAAATAACTGTAAACCAAAGACAACCTACCAGGACTCAAGCTGGCTTGCACAAGCTTATCTTCGGCAAGGTAGTCCTTGCAGTGGAAGCCGAGCTCTGCCCACGAATGGAGCGTCTCCCTTGTCTTCAGGTCCAGCCTAACACCAGAATCCTGAATGGCAGCCCTCCAATGGGTAGGGAAAGGCCACCCTGCGGGATTACGAACTACGAAATAACTTCGCTTCCAGGTTGGGATCCTATTGGGTAGTTCGTGTAAAAGTTTAAAGCCTGGGCGAGGTGACGGGTAATAGGTTCGCCTATGCTCGGGAAGGACGCAGGAAGAATTTTTCTTGATCGATAAAATAGAAGAAAAAATTTCGAGGTCCAGAGGCAGACAATACTCGTAAAAAACAGAGATCATCCCTACTACATTCTGAATCGAGTTTGGGTGTAATTGGTCTATAGTGATGTTGAAGAACTTCGGGATCTCGATGATTAAGGGATGCAGAGGTAAGCGAAGACCAGCCACGAACTGCTCTTCGAAGATTACGATCTCATTATGATCGTGCTCCCAAGGGAAGTTAGTTATGGGGAGACTGTAGGTGTACTCTTCCGGGAGGTGGTATCGACCTATCAAAGCCCTAAGTTTATCCACAGTCAGCGTCGAGGGACCGAACCTGTCCGGCACCTAACTTCGATGAGAAGTGGGCGCCAGGTTATCCGTGGCCTCTCGTGCCCCCCAGGATGACTCCACTTCGGGAGGACCGACCTGAGCCGAGGTACCTTCCTCGGGCTCATCCAAGAGACTATCAAAACTAAGTTGCGACATAACTACGAATTGAACCAAACTGAAAAAGAAAAGCTAGGGGAGACTCACCAAGAAGAGAGACAGAACTGAAAGACTGACGAACTAGAAAACCCAAGCTGAGGACTTTAACCGCAACCTCAAGGCGAATGCTAGTGAACTTATGGCGGAGAAAATGACTCGGGTCCCCCCATATTTATAGCCGCAAGGTCAGGGGATCAACGGTCGAGATCAAGAAGATCTGACGGTTCCTGAGAAAACTGGTTGTACGACCCTCTAGGTCGAAATCAGTTTAGCGCATTTTTTGGCATCCGCGGAGTCTATAGATCGCGTGACGTCCGCGCGTAAACCGCACGCGACCTGGGTTATACTTGGTTGAGCCAAGCAGCCGAACTGGTCCAACCGACGAACTGTCTGATTGGACGGCCTGAACCTCGAGCCAAATCCACCCGTCACGCTGTGAACTCCCCGCACCAGGTCAGGACCCCTGGCCCAGGGAGTGGGGGGCAATTGATGGAGGGTGATTTGGCCCGACCTCATAACGAGGGGACACGTGGACGTGACTCGACATAAGTGACAACTCATCATAACGAGCTCGCCCCAACTCAGCATAACAAGCTCGCTCCAACTCAACATAACGAGCTCGCTATAACCTAGCCTGACAGCTCGCCATGAATAGCAGCTCGCTACAAGATAGTACTCCGTTGCCCCAAGCTAAGACTCCCCCAAGTAGGGAGCACCCCGAGCTAAGACTCCCCCAAGTAGGGAGCACCCCGAGCTAAGACTCCCCAAGTAGGGAGCACCCCGAGCTAAGATTCTCCCAAGTAGGGAGTGTCCCGAACTGAAGACACTTCGGGTTAAGCTTGTTAGCTCCCTAGCTAGAATAAGCTCGCTCCTGTCCAAACCTAAGTAGGCCACCTCAACAACCTGCCTCAGATAGAAGCACCTCGGCACATCACCAGCAGCCCGGTATAAGGTAGCTCGCTGCAGAGCAGCTCGGCGTATCGCAGGGGGTTTCCTGCTTGACAACCGTACCTTCCATCCCTGAAGATTGTGCCCATGTCTCTCGCCTAGCGGCGTCGTGCCTGCCAACCCTGGAGGCTGTTTTCTGGCAGGACCGTACTCTGCAGCGATCACCTTCGCCCACCAGCTCAGCTTTGACAAATAACGGCCAGCCACTCCAAGCCGTTATCTGACAGCAGATCGCCGCAGTAGAGATTCGGAAGCGGTTGCACCTGACATGTCAGGATACTAGTATATAAGGACCCCGACCCCCAGAGGCGAAGGTATTGCATGATCATCACTCTTAGCTCTTTAATTTCTCTGCAACTCTCTCTCTTTCTCTCCCAGCTTTCAGTCTGGTTACTAACTTAACCATCGGAGTGTTCCCGCCGGGTGAGCCCCCCGAGTTCCTTCATCTTCTTCCTCACAGGTCTCTTGTCCGTCACCAGCTAGGAGCGCAGCCACGTCCAGCTAGGAGTGACCAGATCGCACACCATCAGCAATCTTTTGGACTGTGTGGATGGAAAGAAATGTCAGAGTTTTTGAAGATTTAGAAAAAACAGAAGAGACAATTATGGGGTAGAATTCACTCTTGGGTTGCAATGAACAGAACCTTTACAGATATACCATTACAGCTCTTTTCTGAATTACACTTTGTTATTTTGTAATGATTGGGTTACTTTGTGTACAGGTGGAGTAAGTGTTTGCACAGTTTCTTGCTATGTAGGTGAGGGGTTGTATATTTTCTTTTTTCAATAGAATACCATATCTTTTCTCAAAAAAAAAAAAAAATTACTGCTGTAATTGATCTTTTTGTGGTGTTAATCCTCTCTTCTACATCCATTTGCTCTGTAATGAAATTGCTACCTTAAAAAAATGAAAAAAAAAACAAGTCAATCCTAGTCACTTCCAGTTCAATCAAAAGCTGTTATTGCATTTTCCTTATGGAATTCCTAATATATTTAAACCCGCAGTTGAGGGAAAGACAGAAGTTGAGTCAATCCTGGTGAGCTGCAGATCAGTCCACAGACTACAGCTTCTCCCGAACATGGAAAGTACACAACAGCTGATAAAAGCTGCAAACCGAAGCTTGGTAAGTCAAGAAAATGTTTTGAAAATTTATCAACACTTATAAAATTAAGCTCACATTGGGGCTCAAAACTCAAATCATGTAAATCCCATGGAATTCCAATTTGACAAGTGACTATTTATATCATTGCCCCATGCAAATAAATCTTAGGATTCTTTCAAGAATCTTAAAAAGCATGAACAAAATAATGCAATCATCATAAAAGAAACAACTAAATGAGAATCCCAGATGTTCACTACAGCTAAATCCAAAACAGGGATTGGACTGTTACAATAGAAACATCCAATCAAGGTCATAAAAGGAAAAGAAAAAGTCCAAAATAGGGATCATGATTTTTGAGTGTCAAAAGCATTCACACTGAAGGCAGGAAGAGATCCCAGGTGTTCACTACAACAAAATGAGAGAGGTACACATCTAAAAAGTTAGTATATGTTTTGTAATGGATAGAATGTAGTACATGTATTTGTTCCCTCATGTGGGTGCCTAGAAGAACAGTGGAATGTGTGGCAAATCCAGCTAGTGTATTTCCAAAATAAGGTGAAACAAGGAATAGAGAAAGTACAGTGATGAAAATGTGGAAAGTTTATCTAACTTAAAAATCTTAAATTTTTTGGGCACAGAGAAATAAATAGAAAAAAAAATCTACAAGAAAATAAACCATAGATATCATTTTTTTTTCTTTTGATTAGCAACCATAGATATCATTCATCATCATTATCCATGCCTTATCCCAATTATATGGGGTCAGCTACATAAATCCTGGTTCGACAATCTGTTCTATTTAAAGTCATACCCACTATTAAATTATTAGTGCTTCTTGACAGTATAGCCGGCCAGAAATAAGAGGAAGAGAAGAKAAGAGAAGAGGAGAAGAAGAAAAGAGAAGAGAGGAGGGAAGAAAGAAGGGTTTTGCAAGGTAACAGTGCTGGCGGTGCCAGCCTTTATTTTAATATATATAGGGCAGCAGAAATAACAAGGGAAAAGACCCTTGTGCCCCTGAGTACAATAACAGACATAACAGAAAGAAAAAACGAAATAAAAAAACACTTTAATTAGCCAAACAGGCCCTAACATCAGCAACTAAATTATTATAACATTATTTTAACAGTGCTTAAATCATTTCTTATTGCTTTTACCCATGGCCTTTTTAGTCTACCCCGAGCTCTTCTATCCCCTTCAATGTGTAACAAATCACTTCTTCTAACTTGCACAGTTGGCGGTCTTCTATGCACCTGCCCAAAGCATCTTATTCTACTCTCTCATTTTATCACCTATTGGAGCTACTTCTAGGTTCCTGAGGATAACTTCGTTCCTAATCCTATTCTTTCTAGTTTTTCCACTCATCCATCTTAGCATTTGCATTTCTGCACATTCATTTTCTGGACATATTGTTTCTTCACTGCCCAACACTCCACTCCATACAACATAGCCGGCCTTGCAACTGCTTTATAAAATTTTCCTTTTAATTTAATTGGTATTCACCTATCACATAAAAGTCCAGATGCACCCCTCCATTTTGCCCATCCTAAGTGTATCTTGATTTACATTCCTATTATTACTAAACTTACATGTCATATACTCTTTTTTAGTCCTACTTATTTGAAACCTCTTGTTTCTAAGGCATTTGTCCATAAGCTTAATTTTTCATTTAATCCTTCATTAGTTTCATCAATCAAAAGAATGTCATCTGAAACAACATGCACCATGGAACATAACTAAATATGTTTAGTTAATTCACCATAGAAATCACTGTTAAAGAAAAATAAGTTGGATTGGATAAAGAAAAATCATATGGTAAGAGAACCCAAATAAAAGATTGACAATACCAAGAACTAGCATAATAAGATGATTCATAGCCATATAATTTGGGTATTATTTTTAGAACTTCTTTTTAACTTGAGAAGAAACCTTTCTCGTCCGTCCAATTAAATGCAATAGAACAAAATTTTTAGAACCTTCTGTGCATATTGATTTTTGGTATGGTTGATTTACTAGGGAAGACCAATCTGATGATAGGTTCAATGCTCAAAACATGGGAGAATTGAAGTTATGGGAACCTCAGACCTACATATGGGCCCTGCTTCCCAGACCCAAGATTCAGCCACTGCATAGAGCCTTCCATTGATGAGGAGAGCTAGGGAGATAAAGTTAGGTCATAGTTGATGATGCCATTGAGTTCCACTCAGCCAATTCCTAAAACAAAATCCATTTCCCTTTTATTGTGCACGTTAAGAGGGTAAAGAAAAGGAAAAGAAAGAAAATATGCAAACTTAATCAGTGCAAGAGCAACCTTTGTCATTCAGAAAAAAAAAATGCAAATAGAAAATGGCAAAGGCCTGACTGAAGATAAGCTATGTTGTTTTAATAGAAATTAAGATATAAGCAGAAAGTTGGGGGATGTTCTTAACATAAATTGTAAAATTCTTAGGAACTTTCCATCAAGTTTCTGTTTCTCTCTTATCTTTTGTCAACCATAGACAGCCTAAATGAACCAAATATGATAATGTAATGTCTCTCAGAAAATCTAAATAGATTGAAACCCAGCAAGAAATTCATTTATATTTATCAACCTTCTCTCTTTAAACAACAACTTGCAAGCAATTATTTGAAAGCATAAAACAGAACAAAAAATTTCAGTGTACTAAGACTAAAGAGTGGGCCATTACTTGGTATAACGGTAAAATCTCAGGCTAGCAAGCATAAGAACGTGAGTTCAAGTCTGACGGTGGCCACTTTGTGTGAAAAAGTGTCAAAGGTTAGAACTTCACCCGATCTACCCCTCCCAAGACCCCGGATAGTTGGGAGCAACATTGGCTAATGGCCTTTTTTTTTACTAAAGATAGCTACCGTCAAAGGTTGGCTTCATATTACTAAGGCTTGACATTAGTAACAAACTAACCATGTTATATAAATGGAATATCAAATCTTTCTTTCCAGTTTTTTGGAGAAACGTATGGATCAAAAGCAGAATCATAAATAAAAGAATGCAATAACTCAAATTATAAATCATGTGGTAGGAAAGCAATCAACAGACCTCCACCAATGCACCCAATCCAAGCATTTTATTTACATGTCATAGTCATGTAGTGTATGTCAAGATCAGGCAATACAGCGTCAATCAAAAGAACTGTATCTGCCCCTTTTGTCCAAGCATAATAAATTTGCCAGGCATCAATGATGAATTCTTTGCAGAGAAGAGGACAATGCATCAGGTTCTAAAGTGAGAAACTTGTATTTAAAAGATAACATTTGTTGATAAGAAAGCATAGATGACATATTTATCAAGGTAGACCTTTACTACAGCATTCCATACTGCCTCTAAATTTTCAAACCTTCCCTTTTATTAGTGAAAAAAATAAAGACAAAAGAGAGATTCACTTGGTAGAAAAACCTTTCTTCAACTGATGCTAATAGTAAAAATTTACATTTTTCGCCCCATAAATTTATGACATCAGACAATAAGTAAGGAGGCGTTTGGCAAGTCTTTTTAGGAAGATCTTCCAAAAGCTCAAGACCTCAAAATACTGATGAGCTTTCATAAGTAGATCTTCAAAGACGAAAGACCATTTGGTTGCAATTTTTTCAAAGATCTTCTCAAAATCTACAAAGACCGAAAGACCATTTGGCAAGTATACTTGTGGGTCTCACTTACACACATGTGAACTGTCATGTATGAGACCCAATAACACATTCAAACATGCAAATAGTACTTGTGGGTCCCATTACACATTTTCCTATGAAAAATATTAAAGTTGGCCCCATTCATGCATTTCCCTATCTAAGATATCAATGTAGTCCCCATCTACACATTGGCATATGCGCTTATCACCTATGAGCCCCACTCATGCATTCAACTATACAAAAAATCAATGCAGGCCCCCACATAGTTCCACACATTAGGGGACAAGAACCCACATTGACACACATTAGGTACTGTTATAACTCACATTGACACACATTCATCTATGCATTCATCTATACAAAAAATCAATGCAGGCCCCCACATAGTTCCACACATTCGATGTCCACACATTAGGTACTGTTATAACCCAAATTAATTCCATGTATTACATAATATGCAATTAATTCATCACATAACAAGAAATTATTTCAATACATGCAATTAGTTTAACATGAGTAATTTTTTCCGACAAATAGTTCAATACAAACAAAGTAATTCCCTTGTCTTGAACTCAAGACCTGATGCATGGGAGTTGGTGCCAATGACTACCTGGCTAACGGTGTAAATATGTATCTAGAGTTCCCCAAAATAATGATGATGGTAGTAGGAAAAGAGGTTTCTAAATCAGGCCTGGTAGTGAAGCTTGCTAATTGATCAAAAGAAGTAGTTCAATACAAGCAATCCAATACATGCCGTCAAATAAAAACACAACAAATTTGAAAAAAAAAAAAAAACACTATGTTGCCCACCTTCTCCTAATGTTCCTTGGCGATGGCAAGGAAGTATTTCGAGTAACATCAGTAAGCCCACACTCCTATAACCTTTAACAGCCAACACATGCCTGAAAACATCACTACTAGGCCAAAAAAGGCAAGTTGCAAACCTGCCAAACTATGTTACTCCATCTTCTCAGATCTGTCAATTGGTTTTCCACTCCAAACAACATTGAAACACAATAAAATAAAGAGTACATCAATGTTGACAACAGTTCTAGTGGAACATTGCAGTAATGCAAAATCCATATCAAATTCTAAACCTTCACACATACAGATCTTAAGTGCTACAATTCAACTACTCTCAACTAGAAACCAGGGATTGAACCCAACTAACATCATGGTTGGGTTCATACAGACATCAAACAGGAAATTTCCACTGTTTAGATACAACCTACAAGGAGTATAGTTCAAAGCTTCAAACTATTTTTCCATTACCAAGTTGGTGCAATTTGTACCAAGCAAATTTGGAAAATTAGATAGGGCTGCTAATGGGTCATGAAGATCCAACAGAATTGAATCCAATTGACCCAATTACATAGGGTCTCGATCTGCACTACAGGACTGAAGCCAACAGTAAATTTACAGGTTTAGTGCTAATTTATAGGTTAAAAAATCGAGCTGTCAATTATAAGCACCTCCCTCTATGCTAGGTTGCTAATTTATTGGTTTTGTTCTTGGGTGGATCCAAAAGGCTCAGAAAACATGAGACAAGTAATAAATATAAAGTGCATCAAAAGAAGGAAAATATACACTAATTGAATAATCTTGGGAATACAACATTTTTTGTTCTTCTGCTCTATTTGTTAAAATGTAGCATGATAGTGCAGAAACTAATTATTCAAACGATAAGTTATTCTGGCAAGGTGTTGAAAGGGACAATTTTCTTATTTTTGGTCCAAATAAATACTTGGTAGTATGAAACTCAATTCCATATAATCACATCCAAAACCATTATTCCTAAACCAAAGCAGTCAAACTCCAAATAAACAAAAAACAATAGACCCTAACCCCAACGAGTGAAAACATCAATCTGTAAGTAAACCTCCAACAATCATGAGTCTTAGAATGTAGGTTGTACCTGAGAAACCAAAGAAGAGCAAGGATTGTATATCCCTGCAAAAGAAATTAAAAGCAAAAGATCGATTATTCATCTGCAGATAGAAGAAGAAAGAAACAGAAGAAGAAAAAAAAAAAAAAAAAACGTGAAGATAGAAGGGCTGAACATATACCTGGTGCGGATGGTTTCTGCCTCGCTTAGGTTCAGCATTCACTCAGCGTGACAATGCAAACGGATCGGTTCCGATTCGAACGAGACGAATCCAATCCGATCAGATCTCATAAACGTCAATTCGGACTCGAATCCGTTAAGGATGTCGAATCTTATCCGATCGGATTTAAGTTATGAAAATATTAATACAAAAACATAACAATTTATATAAATTTCAACTATTATATATATATATATATATATAATACACGTCTTTTTTATAAGAAAAAAAATCAATGTTTTAAAAACCGATCCAGAGGTCGAACCGTTTTTGCCTTTGGATCTCGAGTCTCCAGTTCAATTGACCGGGTCAAACGGTCCAGATCGTGCCACGTCAGTGCATATATATATAATGTATAAATATGTTTTAGATATGTATATGTATTATTTTATAATTAATTTATGTTTTTTAATTCAGTTTTTATTTTTTTATTTATAAAAAATATTAAAATTTGCAATTTGAAGCCAAAAAATGTTTTTTTGCAAAAATAGCGGGGCAAGGCACCTACGACTCCTTGGGATGTATAGGTCTAAAAAAGTTACCCAAAATTAAAAAAAAAAAAAAAAACCACCCCAATCGAACATCGGAGTGCAAAGTTATGGCCTTCAGAAATTTGCATGCATTGAGTGTGCAACCCACGACCCGATCACCGAGTCGAATGTGTCAACGGTCAAACAGTTCTTGACTAAGTCAACGGTTTTTTACCACCTAACGGGTCTTGACCAAGCCGGACCCAAAATCCTGGTCGGGTGACAGTTTAAACGGTTCAACCAGACGAGTCAACATCAGGTTGGAAATATTAAATTAAAATTATAAAAAAAATTACAAAAATACAATATATACAACATCGGATAAGGGGTGATCCAAACTTGATCTGATTTTTAATCAGATCCGAAAATCCAACATGTATTTGAATTCATGGGACTACACAACAGGATCCCCTTTCCCTTAATCCCCCCCCCAACCCCTGGTGGCAGCGGGATTTGATCCCAAGTCTCTACTCCGATGAGTCAGAGAACCTACCAACTGAGCCACCATAGTTGGTCGAATGCCAAACGACCTTGGGATTCAAGAAAAGTGTGATTTGAAAAAACATCATTTTTTATGTTTTTTGAGAGGATTTGACTATGATATGGAAAAGATATGATATTTGAAAATGTTCTAATCGATCAATTAGAATCATAAAAGTAGTAGCCAATCAAGTGTAATTTATCAAAATTCGCAAGTGAGTTTTGATTGGTCAAAACTCTTCCCATATCATGCCTTTTCTGCATCATAGATTTTACCTTTTTGAGAAAAGCATGGTTTAAGAAAAGATGTGGCTGATGTGGCATTGAAAAACACCTATGCGGCAGGAATTGGTTCAAAAAAAACACCATATAAATTCAATACCGCTTTCTTAGATGTTAGAAAACAACATTAGAGAAATGGCATCAGTTCCAAACATCACCATAGTAATCACCAGTTTCATTGGTAAGTTAGATGTTTGTGATCATTTTGACCAATCTTTAGACTCTTAAAACACATCTACAACCATCATAATTCATAATCCACCTAACAACGTATTTGATTAGGGCACATAGTTTCTGGAATGAATGGGTTTGATTATTATATCAGAAAAACTTTTAACAAGTTGAACACATGAGTTTTTACTTTTATATATTGTTTAATTACCATTAGTCCACTTTTATATTTATATTTATTAATGACTTTTTATCGTATATATTACTTTATTATACACGTATTTATAAAAATGTAGAGTAAGAAACATGAACCCCGGTTATTTGCTTTAAAAATTAAGAAACTTGCCACCCATCCACCATATTTTAGTATGATAATATTTGTAAAATATATAATATACAGTATTTGTATGACCCATATTTGTTTGACTCATGTGAGTAAAATGAATCAAGAATTAAAAAAAAAATTCTATTCCAGTTAGATGATTCTTGTTATTTTAGCTAGTTTTATTTGAAAATAAATGGAGGTATTTTTGGTAAATTAGAGTTTAAGAGAAAATGGCCAAAATGAAAATAAGGAAAGTTTAATTGAACATTTTACTAATTTAATACATTCCGTCATCTGACTAAGGAGTATCTGTCACAAAGTGAAAGTTCAAGGGTTCTTTGTGGCAAATGAAGTTTGGGGGTATTTGTCACTGACCCTATAGTATAAAGCAAGGTTCAAAATTTCGTTACGTATCGGCCAATACATATCGTTCTAACAAGTTTTCGACACGGTACATGGTACCAAATTGAATGTGTCGTATCTATTCATCGTATCGAGGCCGTATTGTGCCCATATCGTTGAGTATTGGTGCATTTTGGCACAGTGTCAAATCTTGTAAAAATTTGCCAAAAACATCTATAAATTTGCAAGATTCAACAAGTTTTTCAAGGTTGTGAAAAAAGGAATGAAACTAAATATGTTTTTTCAAATTTCTTTTACATTTTCAGAAAATGTTATAAAAGATAAAGGGGAAAGAAAGTGGTCCGCTTCGACAAGACTCCCCTTTTAACAACTATTATGCATTTTTTTCTTAATATAAAAGTTTTTTATTAAAGATAGAGAAAAAAAATGAAATCCCCCTTCCTCCTTCCTCCTTCCTCCTTCCTCCTCTTAAGGAAGCTTACGCCTCTTGCATTCTGAACTATGCTTCACGCCTCTAGGTAGTGGAATGCCTCTATGTTTTAAAACATTGATATTAATTTAATTTTTAGAATAAAATATGCAAAATAATTATTTCATCTATTATATCCATAAATCCATTCAATTTTTTGTTACATATTTATTTTTCTTAATTTTAATTTAATTTTTAGAATAAAACATGCAAAATAATTATTTGAATAAAAATAAATAATTATTTAGTTTTTAGAAAATTAGAATAAAACATGCAAAATAATTACTTGATCTATTATGTCCATAATTAGATAGTATGTTTCTATTCCCAGCTTCCCGTTTATTGATTATAATATGTTTTTCATAAAACCCACTAAAATGTGTTGTTTTTATGCATAAATAGCTCATTTATGTCTTATATTTAGTGATATTGATGTTTATTTATGATTTATTAAAGTATTTATAGCATTTCCATGTGTTTCCATGCGTATCTTATTTTTTCGTCCGTATCCATGCATATCCAAGGCGTATCCCGATACGTCTCTTAAATTTTCCTTTCCAATACGCATAGCGTTTCCAATACTTTAAACCTTGCTATAAAGGGAGTCTTTATCATTTACCCAAAAGAAAAAAACAAAAGGACCATTCAATATTTCTTCCCAAGAATCGCAACAAAGAACCAGGGCTGAAATAACTATTTTCCTTGTGCAACTTGGCATTTTATCCACCCAAGAGAGCCGCAATGACATTCAAATGAAAATTGCATACAAGATATATTCACAGAATCTCAGATATAGATGGCATCCTCAACTTGTTGCCTTTAGTTCAGAATGTAAAATGTTGTGATACGTTCGTTCCAGTGCAATTCAAATTATAACATTTTACCGTATGCATATTTGTGGTCCAATAGGAAAAGGAACCGCATTAACCGTTTTTTTAATAGCAAACGAGGTTCCTATGCAGTGTGCATAGGCCTCAACTTAAATTAAGACTGCCCAGTACAATCAAAATTGATGCTTCCCATGAAATCTATCTAAATACCAAACATCTTCATGTAACCAAGGGTCATGGAGACCTGGAGGTCCTGGATTACTGTTTTAATCTAAAATATACAGTATTTCTATAAAAAAAATACAGGTAATTTTTTTTATAAGTAAATACTGGTAATTCAACTCCTAATATATGATAAAAGCTCTCAATATAATGTGATTTGTTAGGAGTTAACCCTAAACTTGACTAAACTCAGCCATCAAACATATAAAAGAGAATTGCAGTGGCAGTGAGCATTATTGACCATCATTGATCATTCCCAGCATCCACAACACCAACTTCTGCAAGTTCTTCCATTTCATCCACATCCTCGATCTCGGCATCTTCATTTTCATCATTGAGAGCCACTTCATTTGCATCTATAGTAAGTTTAGAAGAGTAAGTAGAAAGGCCATTATAAATCAAGTTAGAGCTAGGGAAGAAGATATTCTATTACAAAGTGCATGTGAACTGAACTGTGAACACAAAACAAGTCAAGACAATCTCTTGATTGTTTTTTACACCGAGTCATTCAATTCCTATAGGCATGATATATCCACTGTCCTAAGTGATCAACTTTTCTACCTTTGGCTTAACATTTTGGTCTCTTATTCTATTTCTAACTGCTATATATGCATCCATAAACCATTGATTCTGAATCTACATATTGGAACTACTGAGGCTATAAACCCAAAACAGAATTTGGAATTCAATGCTCAAAGTGGGTATGCACAGTTCGTGCAACATAATCAAACTCTTTCAGCTTCTTAATTTTTTGAGCTGAGAAGAAAAATGAATGAAACGAATGAAAAGTATTTGTTATCATGTGCTTGGTATTTATTCTTAGAGGAACCTAATGGTGCTAACTCCATTTGGCAATATTTCTACCACTGGTATTTGCTTATTGGCTAGATTATTTTTTCTAAGTTAAGGTGTACTCTTATTATTGTATGTACCTTCTGATACCTGGACATCTCTACACTCTTAATGCACCCATTTCAGATAGTGCTATCAATGGGTTGGTTCTGATCCAGGTCAGGGTTGTGTTATATATTATTCACATTCTTGTCAGTTTTATTGTCTTCTCTGCCTCAAGATTTACTTTGTATCAAAGCCACTATTTGAAGAACTGATCTCAATAAATATTGTGTGATAAAGATTTTTTTTTTGTGAAGTTGCAGTTAGCAATTCGATCTGGTTTTCTTCTGATTTACACATTAGAAACAGAAATTTAGAACAGGGTTCAAAGATGGATTAGTTCCAACAGATTTCAAGTCTGTTTCCAAAAGTTGGATTTTCTGATCTAAATTGATAAAGTTTATTTATAATAAGATATCTATGATTTTTCAGGATTTTTAGTTGAAGTTTGAGGACTGTATGGATCAGTCCAAGAGGTACTCTAATACCATGTTAACCTGAAATTTTGAGATCCATAAGCCAGAAAATTAGTGAAAGAAAAGGAAGAAACAAGATCTAATGCAATTCACTCAGTAGCCTACATCCACAAAAGATTGAGAACACTTACACTATGAGAAAACTTAAGAATAAGCAAGAGTCTCCATTAAGTTACCAACATTACAGTAATACCCTTATGTCCTCCAGAACAAACTAGGTAAAACACACTTGAGTTTAGGTGAGGCACACCCAAGAAAATGAGCCTTGCCTGTGAGGCTAAGCAAAGCTTAAGGCATGCCTTGTAGAACATTAGCCAAGCTTTAGTGTTGCATGATTTTCCTAAATGAATTATGTATCCATGTCAGACACATAAAATAGCTATTAGATATCAGTATTTCCACAAGACCTGAAAAGAGTTCAAGACATTGTATTCTACAACAACCAAGAAAAACATTCTAGAAGAGAACCAAGTAAATTAGCTATGTTGAATACGGGTATAGAAAAATAGAATGGTACCTGCAGATATCAGATGCATTAACACATTTGATTCTGATGTGCTATCGAGAACATATGGGAGTTCCAGAAACTTCAATAAGGATTCTGTTTGGGGGTTGCGCTGATGTCCTGTACAAAATAAATCATGTACACTATCAACATGTGCATGTTATAGAGTTTATTGGTTGACCCATTAAATATGAAAACATTAAGCTAGCATGGCTCTAGTAAAACATGACTAGCTATTAGTTTCTGAAAGTTGTGGAAAAAATAAAGGATGAGCACAAAGAATCAACCATTCTTGTAGTTGATAATGGTTACCTTTGAGAGTAATTTCTGGTAATGAAAATGTAGATATTGTAGGTACATAGTGGTCACTAAGACCATCAGAGTACAGAGGGTGTTGAACCAACACTACGTGGACGCCTGCGATGAATCCATAACCCATCGCACGATCGCGACAAGTTCATTGCAGATCTGCGATTGCGATGAACTCACCCAAGACAAGTTGCGATAAACTTTGGCTAAGCGCGAATCTGCGATAAAGCTAAGACATGCGCAGGTTTGCGATGAACCCCGAACACACCGGAGTTGCGATGAACTCGACACCATTACAAGAACTACGGAATCACAGTAGATCGGGAGTAAATGCTGGCTACACGTGCGTCTTTTAATTACACATGCGGGTACACATGCCAAACGATGACGTCACTCACACCACGTCAGTACAATAGGGTCACGTATAGAGAGAATCCGAAAGGGATAGGATTCTCTAATAATGATCCCTTAATAAGACCTCATTTCCTAACAGGAGAGATCCTCTTTCCTAACAGGAAATAACTCCTTCCCTGATAAAAGGGGGAGAGCAATTCTTTCCCAGGGGGATAACACAATCACAACTCACCTAGGGTTTCTCACATAGGGATTCTCCCTTCTCCTCTCTTCCTCACGTCCTCTCTTTTTCCTGTCGCCATCTCCAGACCTTTGGAGACTGACCAACCTCCGCCTTACCATGGTGCCTACAAATATCATTCAGTTAATTGGAGTATTATAAAGCATTTCCCATACCCAAACTTAATCAGGTAATTGAGAATCATATACCATTCAAGTTCACCAACCAAAGGATGCAAAGTATTTGTTTTCATAATGCAGAAAATATGTTTTGTCCAAGTCCCAAAGGATGAAAATTAATGCTTAGAATTAGGTGTTTGTAAGGGTCTTATAAGAAAAAAAAAAAAAAAAAAGAATCAAGGTTCTTATTTGATATATGGTTTAGAGTAATTTTCCTCTTGTTTCAAATTCTCTTCATAGTTCAATGTAAGCTAATATGTTGATACAATTCATGAAAACTTATACCAACTTTCTATAGTCAAGATCCTATACAGGAATTTTTATTGTTTATCTATTTAGTTTTCTTTGGTAGAGTGGGGAGAAGTCTGCTTATGGCTGGCAATACCTGTTTTGATCAACTAGGACATGACTTGATTATATTGCAATTTATGTAATTTTTGAATATTATTTGATGTTTAAATGAGTTGATAACTGCACATGTGAACCTACATATTAATTAATGAAAACCTCAAAGTTGATATATTGCTAAAGAAATTAGCATTTTTGTGGTGGAGTGGGGATGATTGACTTAAACTTTAAAATTTGTATAGATTTATGCTATGGGGGATCCCCTATGATAGATTACAAAAAAATCCTCATAATCCATAAAATCTATAGCAATAAAGTCAATTATTTCTTCAACAATAGGTCAACTTTGAGGTTCCCATTACATACTCTGTAGGTTCATATGAGCAACTACCAATTCATGAAAATGTCAAATGAAAACATAAAAAATAGCATAAATTACAAAATAATCAATTTCAGTCCTACTTGATCAAAATAGATGTTGACAGCTACAAACGGACATCTCCCACCCCACCACAGAAGACCACAAAAAGTTGGTATATGTTTCCATGAACTACATCAAGCTATTAGCTTACATTGAACTATGAAGAGAACTTGAAACAGTGTCAATTACAAACGATGAATGTTTTTCTTAGAAGATCCATAAGACCCCTACAATGGATATGGCAATAAACAATAACAGAATGGCAAAACAGGACTCATGTATCATATCCCATATAGTAGGGATTAGGCATTGATGATGATGATGATGAGCCATAAGACCCATACAAACACCAAATTCTGTTATAAAATTTCAGTGTTGGTTTAAACCCTTATGAACTTTGGCAATACCTAATTCTACATTGTGACTTTACATCCTTTGGTTGACGCACTTGAATGGCATATACATTCTCAAGTACTAGATTAAGTTTGGGAAATGCTTAAAAAAGAAAAAGAAAGACTCCCAAAGGCAACCACAATCAACTACAAGAATGCCTGGTTCTTCTTATCCCTTTTTTCCATGTAAGGATTTCAGAAACTAATGCCGACCCATGGTTTACCTTTACCAGAGTCATGCTAGACTAATGTTTTCATATTTAACACCTCCTCATGCAATAATAAATAAATAAATAAATAAATAATATCTCAAAGATTACCAGGAATAGAACCATTAGACCCCGGACAAGAGGGATCATAGATTGGAAGTGTCCTTGTAAAATCAAAAGGTTTGGCGCCTCGTGTTTTTATCTTATCTCTGACCCACTGGCGATAATCTTGCAAGTTAACCTGTAGATTCCTTCATTAAAGAAAATAGTTTTTAGGTTCCTAGACCTTTTAACCTGCATAGAAAATTAGGAAAATAAAAAATTCAAAATTCTGTATATCCTAGAGCAAAACACACCCCAAATGCACAAGCCTCCTGGTTAGAGGGAAGATACAATTAAAATTCTTTGTTATTGCCAGCCATTCTTCATCATACTGAATCTCATAAGGCCCAGGCTTTGATTCAATTTCAACAACCTAAAGGTCATGTCAAAGCAACCATAAGGCATTAGCTTCCAGTGATTATCATAAAAGTCCATAGAGGAAATGAGGAGACTACCTGCAAAAATTTGCGTCCAGGAAGGCACTTATCCAGTGCAAGAAATTTTGTAACTGGACCATCCTCCCCATGTTGAACCAAAGCTGCAAATTTGCAGTGGAGATGAGCTGAAAACCAATAAGGTGGTTTCAATTTGTCTAGCAAGTCTGCAGCAGCCTTACTTCCAAGTGTTCTTTCCTCAATCTGAGAGGTAGAGAACAGTATTTTAGTTGTATCAAGGATATGAGAAAAAACAGTAATAAAGAGTATTATCAACATTGATCTGTCTCTAAATTTGAAGCAGTAAAAGTATAAATATCTAAAACGAGATAGTCTATAAACTAGCTACATAGAGAATGCTGCGCATCTCTCCTTGATTCAAATTCATGCTTCAAGGAGACACTAAGAAAATCATTTGCCACCTAAATAACAGGGAAAAATAATTTAAGCTGGATGCATTCCATGTAAATAACAATTATTAACCTTTTCCGAGGATCAATATCAACTTCACTGTTAACTCCAAGACATTTTTATTGGAAACGGTTACTAGTATTTAATAGTTAAAAAGGTGAATACAATATGCCGAACAGAGCATGACAAAAGAGGTGCTGACCCCAACAAAGAAACTGCTCTTACAACACTGCTTAAAATCACTTTGCGAGGTCAATTTGGGATTGGGCTTTCTCCTTATTTGGACGCAGTTGGAATCCCCCATCAGACTTGCTGGGCCTTTTCTCCCCTACCTTTTTCAGGTGGCGGATAAAAAGGGGAAGGATAATGTGGAGAGGACTAAGGGCTGCAGTATGTTGGACATTGTGGGAGGARAGAAAYTCCAGGATATTCTCAGAAACCCAAAGAGGAGCAGCAGATCTGAGGGCTATCATACATATTAGGGTGGTACAGTGGCTGAAATATTTGGAACTATTCACAGATTACACTGTGGATGACATGTTGAGGAAGTAGGGTGAAATTGCAAATTGCACACAGACCAAGTCAGTAATGAAAGTGGTTTGGACTCCCCCACCTAATGGATTCTTGAAATTAAACTTTGATGGATGCAGTAGAGGATCCGGGGCAATCGGGGATTGGAGGTGTTTTTAGGGACGAAAATGGGGTCATCTCTGCCATGTTCTCAAGGCCCAATTGGAGTGGGTGACTCCCTTAGAGCTGAGATCCTTGCAGTTATGGAAGGAGTCCGGAAAGCTAATGAGTTGAACATCAAGAAACTCATAATTGAAGGGGATTCAGAGGTGGTGATAGGATGGCTGACTAAAAGATCAAAATGGTTTATGGAAGTATAACAATGAGAGGAGGAAATTCATGTGGCTGGTGCGGGAGATGGAAGTTAAGACATGTTGGGTTAAAAGATCGGCTAATTCCCTAGCTGACGGTTAAGCTAAACAAGGGGCAGAAAGGGATTTACTGTTTTGGGCTAAGCTGTAACTTTAGTGTATTCTTTTCTCTTTTTCTTCTTTTTCCTTTCTTTTATGAGACTCTCAGTGACTCTTGGAAGATAAGTGTGCTTGTCTTCCTCCTGTAAATTTTCTACTGATGATTTAATGAAAGTGTTATTGATCAAAAAAAAAAAAAAACACTGCTTAAAATAATTGAACTCTAATTATCCTTTGTTTGTCTGAAGTTTCAAACAAAACATTTGCTAAACTTCCAGCCCATCTGAAGCTGGCCTCAATCCGCTTTCATCTTGATTTGCAAGAAGTCTGGTTGGTTTGCTAGGCCAAGACAAATTCACCATGCATCGTTCTTAAACTTATTAGGAAGTGTGAGAACATGTGGTAATGTATAAGAGAAGGTTTGTTGCTTGTACCCCAGTGAAAATAAAGCAAGAGCATATAATTCTTAATCCTCAATTCCCAAGCAATTAAATAGATGAAACATATATACAAATACTATTGGAACTCTACTGAGCACATTTAAGTATGTCACAACCAATTAATGTGATGTTGACATGTATATGGTTACCTCTTTCTCAAAAAAAGGTTTGAATCGAACAAGTTCCTTCCAGTTTCCATAGTCCGTTATACCAACAGGCCAATCATGTGAAAGAAAAATATCAATCGGTTCCTCAACTTGCATGAGCTTGTAGACATCATACTCACGCACATGATATATAGATCGAATATCATTCTCATTATAAGGAGGCCTCTCATAGTGTCCTGCTCATAAAAAACCTAATACAACAATTAAACTACAGATGGATATGCTAGAACCAACTTAATAATTAAATAAAATAATTATTTAATGCTTACAAATGTACAAAGTCACCTCATACAACCTGACAGTTTATTCCTTACAAGCTTTTTCATATAACAAGTGTAAATTAATTTATAATAAAACAGAAAGTATCATAAGCCCAAGCCCAGACATTGATACAATCAGTGTATTAAAAGGACAAGATTCAAGGCAAGGCATCCCCTTCTGAAGCAAGGTGCAAACTTTTAAAAAAAAAATTAAAAATTAAAAATAATATTAATTCAGAAAAAAAATCAAAATTGAATTTTAAAGAAGCTGAACATTTTAAAAAGACTATTGACTCAATTCACGATTACTAAACATAACATAAAAAACATATTCAAAGTGAATGTAGAAATGAATCAAACATAGTGTATAAAAAATTTTTCAAGCATTCAAGAATCAAGCATATGAAACTTTTAATCGGCTTATTTCTCTCCTAATTGCATTATTTCAGGTCGCTAATTTTATTTTACACATCTTTCTTCCTAATTCTATGAGATCAGCCCTCCCCCTTGAATCAAGCCCCTTGAGGCAAACCCAAACAAGTCCATGTGAGGGTCCTAAATTTTTAGCCCATATATAAAGAGACTGGTTTTGCAATTTTAGGATTATGAATCAAATGCTATTTGATGAAAAATTCCTTGTCGGTCTGACAAGAAAACACTAGCAAAAAGGGGGTTCTGTTGGAGTGCCAGCAACCAAACAAGTTAGGGCCCTCTTGCACGGACTCGTTTGAGCTTGCCTCAAGGGGCTTGGTCAGGGATCCAAGGGCTCCCAGCCTCATTGCTTGAAAATGCGCACAACTGAGATGAGGTGCAAGGCTCACCAGATGCATGCATTTTCAAAGGTGCTCCACATAGGCTTAGGCGAAGCACATACCTTGAAATGCACCCTGCCTATGCAACTAAATGCACCTTTTAAATCACTGGATACAACATAAGAGATATAAATGCTTCCAAAAAAGGCTAAAAGGCTAGAAACAACAATAAACCAGTTATATATTAAATTACCTAAATTATAATGGCGTGCATTATAAATTCCAGAGAGACCACCAATACGGATGTTGCCAAATTTGATCACACCAGCGAATCCCAAGAAAAATATGTTAGGTGCTGCCCATCCGCCATAATACCTAGAAAAGCATCCAACAGGTAGAAGAGATGTCATTGAACATTACCAAAAGAAAAACTAACAAAGCCATAATACAACTGTAATTGAAAAAAAAAATAAATTTACAGTTCTGATCATGCTTGCCCATAAGACAGTTCAATGAAGAGATATCAATAACATGGCAGAAATGCAGCATAAAAGGGGTAGAAGCTCAGGAGGGTTTCATCTTACAAAACAAAAAGATAATTCGAAACATGCAAAAGGTACAATAAAATAAATGATAAAGTAAATTAAATAAGGTCCACAATCTTGGAAGAAGGCTTAATCTTATCAAAAGAAAAAGATAATTGCTACTTGCAAAGTATAATGAAAAAAAAAAAAGTTAGATTTCATTCTATGAGAAAAGAAAAAGAAAAAAGGCCTTTCAAGTCAATCAGAATTTTAAAACTTAAATTAAAGAATCAGAGGGCCAGTTGAAGCATTAGAAGCCAATACCTTACATATTTTTATCAATAACAGTAAATTAGTTTATTGAAATATGTATTAGGAAGGTGTACCGTCAAGTGCCAAGCACCCAAGCATCTTAAACTTTTCCGAGGATATCAAGAAGCAGAATTGGCATTTATGAAACATAATAAAAGTTGTTTAGGATAGTGGACAAGCGGGTAATGATAATGTAAAGAAAATCAAAGAAGAGAGCTCCTAACATGGAGGATCAATGGGTTGGGAGTGCTGGGCAATGTTTCTACAAACTGCTTCCATACATTCTTTCAATTCTCTTTGCATTAATAAAATTGGTTTCAGTTACTGATCAAAAACTAATAATAATAGTTGTTTAGGATGGGAGCACAATGTAGAACTGTAGAAATGGTGTAGAGACAATGTCAATCAGGCCTACTTTTAGTGGAACAGAGAAGAAAAAGGATAGGATAGAATGACCTAGGAATCAACACCTATGCTTCTGCAAGAGTTGGCTTGGCACCTAAAGAGTCTATTAGGACTCAGCACCTAATAGCTTGAACAAATCATCCAGGTATCCAAACCAAACAATAAATTTTAAATGTTTCATATAAATGAACAGGATTCAGCACCTAAGGACTATGACTTTCACTTAAGACAAATCCTAGCTGACTTAGGGCTAGGAAGAAGATAAATCCAAAATTTTCTTTAAGGCTATTAACTGAATTGCTGAAATAACTCCTAATCCAATATGACAACAAACTCGTAAGCTAATAGGAAAACCAATCGCTTCTGGCTGCTACAGGCTTCAAACCTTGCAGAACTCATCCAATTATCAGACCATAGGCCAATCCTGTTGAGAAAATTTGCGGCTGCTACAGGCTTCAAACCTTTCAGGTTCGAGAATGAATGGCTTCTGCAACCAAACTTTGTAGAATGGGTAGAAAACAAGTGGAAGGAAGTGCAAGTGGATGGGTCAGCGGATATAAAAGTCTTCAAAAAATTGCAAGTGATCAAGCAAGAACTAATGGAGAAGAAAAAGGAAACATTTGGAGGGGAGGATGACAGGAAAAAAGAAACCTTGGAAAAGCTGGCCAGATTAGAAAGAGTAAGAGAGGAAGGAGATTTTAGGAGAGAGAATCAACACGAGATGGCTGTATTGGAATCTGATCTAGAGAACTTAATGTTGAGGGAGTAAGTTAGGTGGAGACAAAAATCTAGGGCTATTTGGTTCTTTTTTTCATAACACTAGTGCCACAATGAACTGACCTTTTACCCATGGCTATTATCACTACTATGAGTAAATATACAAATTGAAAGAAACTCATGTCTTCTTAGTGTCATACTAACAGATAACAAGGTTTAAAATGTCGATGTTGATGGAAATGTCGCTTACCAAAATATAGGACATATGTCAGAAATGTCAGAAATGTCGAGGGGAAATATTGTAAAAATTAGAGACATTGTGGAAATATGCAATGATCTTTTGTAAAATGATAAAAAGAAGCATTAATGCATATTTCTAGACTACTATCTTATTCCCAACCATTATATAAAGCTAAGAAACTAAGATCAATAACAAATTAGTAAATGACGGTTTACTGATTTATTATGCATTTTGATGTTTTTACAAGGTTATCCAATATTTTATTTTCTTATTTTTAATTTTGATTTATTATAAATTCTAATATATTTATTTCACACTAGTAAATAGAAATACATTTATTCTGATTTTTTAAATATTAAAGTTATAATACATTATGTTTTATTATAA